TTGAATATACATTTTATGTTCATACATTTTTGGCAACTCGATGAGAGGCTCATTCATTTATCTCCATATGGTCATGCTCATAGATGGAGAACCACATTGGTTTTATCTAGGAGCCGTGTAGTGTCGAAAGAATCCGCACGAAGGGAAGGCAACACGACTTTAGGACAGCGTTTTCGACGTGACTCCCAATGTTTATTTTTCTAACCCTCTTCTTATTTTATATTATTGTTGAATTATTTTTACGTCATTTAATTGATTATGCTAATTGATAAATTTATCTACACACAAATCAACCAATTTTTTCAACAATCTAAAGTCATGTTGATGATTTGTATGTAGACAATTCTTTTTATGTGATTTGTGTGTAAATTATTAGTTTTATGATCTCGAATATTAATATTGCAAAATTCCCAAAGTGGCATTAGCTGGCAACAAGTATGGACTAGAACATCCTTACAAACTTCATATCTATATAAATGAAAATTCCTAGAACATCCTTACAAACTTCATATCTATATAAATGAAAATTCATCAATTTTCGCTAAGAGCGGATAGCGTCATGATAGCACAAAGAAATTATTCAAAAATTTGCATTACTGATTTAGAGGAATGATACAAGGCAAATCAATTATGCATGCAATTGAAGTCGAGTATATGATGTAGAGGATTTTTTTAAAACATTCATGTGATTTGAATTTTGTTTAATTTGTCATTTTCCTTAGCATTATACTAAATCTTCCAGTTGTGTTAAATATCTTTTATTAGCTTTGACATTGAAATAATTATATTGTTATAAACATAAAGAATATTGGGTGGTGGAAAGTGTGTTTTTAGAATGTGTAGGGATGATTTCATACTCCGGTTTCACATGAAACAAATCAATGTTTTGTGTGGAGCAGATCTCCTCATTATAATTTGTTTTAAAATGAAACTATGGAAATCATTTTATTTATGAATAAATAGGGTGGAGTAACTTGTATTCTTAAATGAGAAGAATTTCATTGAGAAAAGTGGATATCACCATTTGTAATAACCATAAAAAGGTTTACAACTTACTCGAAATTGGGATTACTTCCATTCTTCTTTTCTGCAGGATATGGTAGGGTAACCCAAAGTACAGTAAAATAGTCTTATTTAATTGTAAACAATCAAAATGAATTCTCCATTTAGACCTTTGGTAAGTGACTCATTGCTTGTTTGGGGTGGGGCAAGGTGTTTCAAAAAGATAAGGTAGTCAAAATAGGTTATGAAAATTTATTTTCATTGAAGCATGAACCTATTAACCTATATGCCTTAATTTAGTAAAGTTGTTGAGTTTATTCATTAAGATGGTTCATTGATGACTTTCATAACTTTCGAGTTCTATACTTTTTGCATATATTTGTAGAATTGCAGTGTCTGTACTCACCCTTCATGTACTGGTTTTAACCTGACTCATATGAAATAATCTATTTCTATTTTATATTTGTAAGAACATAACCATTTTGCATTTCAATTATGATGTGACCTTGATGAAAGATTGCTCTCTATAATTTGATGCTTAGGTGTAGGGAATATAAACTATTTAGTATAAGGTAATAGTTACAAGTATTTAATGAAGAGAAAAAGGGGGGAGAGTGATACATTGGTGATTATATATGGTGGAAGGGTAAATTTAACTCGCTCTCAAGAATTCCCAATGAAGAAATATACTAAGATGTGATCCCCTGAGCACATGTACTAAGGTGTCAAAATTGGCGTATATTTTTACTTTGATCATAAGTGTAATGTATGGGTACTTGAAGTTATAAGAATAGTTAATACTGTCCATATTCCACTTTATTGCCCTAAGGCATGAGGTGTGGACTTTTAGCTTTTACTTTATTTTGGAAAAGAAACACTTGATGATGCCTATGATGTTAGTCATTCTCTTTAGTATGTGATTATTATAAAAATTTTGAAGGAAGAAGGAAACTTATTGAAAATCATAAATGAATTATTGTCCTAAATATTGTAACATAAACCAATTTTAATTTTCAGTTTTCTATTTTAATTATCTTTTAATACATAAAAAAACGCATAATTTATATTGTAACCTATATTTTAATGATCTAAATGTTTCTTTTCCTCCAAGACAGTACAAATGTCTTAAATCTATGAGGCAAAATGTTATGATAATGTGAATTTAATTTGGGGGGTATTGTTTTAATCTCATTCATAATTAGTGGTAATCATACTTCAGTAGGTATTTTAAATATAATCAATTTTTTAGTTATAATTTATTGTTATGAAAATAATATTTTGCTAATGTGTTTAATAAGAATTTGTGGCATTGGTGGATGAAAATCATGAAAGTGTGGAAAAACATGTGCATTAACCATCTCCACACAATGTTGGATCATCTCAAAATAAATAAATTGTAAGATCGCATACTCACTCTATTCAAGTTGGATATCTTTGATATCTTTGGAATGTGGGGGTGTTAAAATTTTTTAATTAAATGCAGCTTACATACTTAGTTGTAAAATTGATATTTTGGGCAAAGTGTTTAAAATGAAATTTAAGATTGCATGTGAAATGCAAGAGTTAAACGGATGCACATGTTCAAACATGTGGCTAGAAGTCAATTTTAAATTTCATTGTTTATCTTATTATACTTAACGTGACTTTGATATTTTGAAATGTTTTAGAAGATTTTGCAGATATGCAGATGGGCAAATGAAGAAGAAAAGCTTTGCAAATTAACGGTACTAATTTATTGTCCAAGAGGGACGTGAATATATGTAGTCCGAAATGGACATACATAAATCATTGAGGGAGATGAGTTTAAGCCCATAAGGGAGTCATCTCCAGAAATAACCCAACCATTGTGATTGGAGATCCCATGAAGAAGGTTCAATGTGGTAGAAACAACTCATACTGCATGTCTCGTAATAGCACTATATCATTTGTACTCATCCCTATAATGATAGTTCTAATAATAATGTGATGTTAGGAAGTATTTAATCATGAATGAGTACCGAGGCGAGAATTATCGCGAGGTGTGGGTCACATACATCCTTGGAGGACTCACCTATGTAAGAGTTGACATGAGGCCATGGCTATGAGATTATGTTATTCCCTAGAGACTCTTACTAGAATCAAGATTGAAGCGTATGACCATTAACAGCGCTACTCGCTATGAACTGAGCCTAAATCGATACTAAGTGTGGAACAGTTGAAGTTTCACCAAAGGGACCTAATTTAAAGTTTAGCCCATTATGGCTCCCTCAAATGAAAATTGTTATCACTAAGTAGAGTTCAAGTCCAAAAGACACCTACACCTATTGCACAGTATTATGTTGCCACTATTATACATTTTTAATTATTTTGAAAGTTTAAAACTTGTGGGGGATTGTTGTAACTTAAAATTAAGTTTTAACCTTTCAACTTTTAACCTATTTAATTTTCTGTTTTTATTTATTAAATAATCACTTTTAACACAATTAAAACATAATAATTCATGTTATAACCTCTATTTTAATGACTTAATTGTGGAGACTAATTTTTCACTGATAAAAGGTGGTTAGATCTCATTGAAAATAATATAAGAATCACAACTTGAAAGATAAATAATATGTACAGCTCTTACTATATTTCTTTAACCACTTGAATATACATTATATGTTCATACACTTTTGGCAACTTGATGAGATGCTTATTCACTTATTTCCCTATGGTCGTGTCCATAGAAGGAGAACCACATGGATTTTATTTTGAAGCCGAGTAGTGTCGAAAAAACTCACATGAATGGGAGGCAACACGATTTTAGGACAGCGTTTTTGACGTGATTCCCAAGGCTTGCTTTTCTAACTCTCTTCTTATTTTATATTATCGTTGAATTATGTTTATGTCATTTAATTGATTATGCTAATTGATAAATTTATCTACACACAAATCAACCAATTTTTCCAACAGTCAAAAGACAAATATTGTGGTTTGAGAACGAGCTTGACTTAGGGATTGGGATTGGTAAAATCAGTTTGGAGTAGGACAAGATTTATGGGCTTTTCACAACTTCATTCAATTTATTGTTGGATGAACTGAAAGATATAAAACTACAAGACACGTAGCAACTATTATATGTCATGTTAAGATGCAACGCATCACTAGCTGGTAGGGTACATGGATAAAAGTTAAATTTTATTTTTACAAGTTTGCATTTATTGTCAACTTACCACATTTTTATCTCTTTCTTTGAATTTGAGATGTCTTTGAAGAATGTTCTATCTCTTTATCTGAATATGAGGATGACTATGAAGAATGTAAGTAATGTTTTTTTCCTTTAATATTTAGCAAAAGAAACAAGAAA